TACATGAAGCGCCTATCAAATTCTCTCCGTCTAAAATTTTTAAAAAGTAAAAAAAAAATAAATTCAAACTGGTTAGTTATCTACATAAAGAACAAAACTGTGTTACCCGACAAAATAGTCGAAGTATAAAGCGGCTTTAAATGCTCACCGAAGAAACACCTACAGTTTAAACGTTAGTTTAAATTTAAACTGAGTTTAAACTAGCACTGAACAACTGGTATTAAATACTTAATTTATTGCTTTAAATCATAGAGTCTAGCGACACGGGGGTGTTAGGTGTTCTACATACATATATAGTTCATTCTTTAACAAAACCCGCATCAATTAATCAAAATAATACCCTTCATTAATTATGATTTCGTATTCAAAATCAGAGTTGCATTTTCCATACTTAAATAGTCGACGTTCGACGTTTAAGTAGAGTTTTAATTTTTGAACTGAAAATTAATATATTTTAGTCATCAATCAAGCACTAAAATTGCTACGCTGCTGAAATTAATCCTAAGTAAATCAGAACGACTTATCTAGATACGATGTTAACGCTAGTAAAACACGGTTATACTATGGAAAATTAAAAAGAAATTGTCTCCGAAAATCTAGCCAAATTTGCTACATAATTACCTCTTTATGTAGGAAATCATTGAAGGACTGACTGTGCTAAAATTGCCCCCTTTACGGTCGCTTCAGCCGATTGGTTAGAGGTTCGTACTACCACTCCGTAGGTCCGCTTAAAATCCATTTGCCTTTCGGCGGCCACCAAATGCGTAGCAAAATTAACCTATTTCCCGTCTTCAAAAGAGTCAGAACTCAAAATAATACGTTCGTCAAAAAATGCGAAAAACTACATACAAATTTTTTAACAAATTATAACAAAAATTTTCTCCAGCTTTTGCTGCAAGGTAAACAAAAGTTCTGTGTACATTTTTAGCGCATAATTTCAAAAATGCCAAATTTTGAGTTGTGAATCTTTTGAAGACGGTGGTGTGCGATATATATTTCCGAGAACAACTTTTGCTTGCATTGACATTTATTTTAAGATACATATGTACATTTTCAAGAGTTTAAATGAACTTAAAGATAGAAATGTAAGGCATGCAAACGAAATGCCTCCCCGCAATACATATGTACGTACAAGCTTCCAGCATATTTTTCGCCTACTTCCAACAAATTTTAGGCCAAATTTGCATAAAACTCTGTATGCGAATGCAACGATTTTGCATATTTAAATACATACATACTAGGGATGTGTAGTGGGGGGTTGAAATTCGATTTTTGCTGAATTTCGAACATTGCCCAACCATTCGATTATTTGATTCGAAATTTAGTGGTGCAAATTCGATTTGATTCGAATTTTTTCGAATTTTCCAAATTTTTTTTTTAAATTGAAACTTCTTAATCGAGTTCGGAGATGTTTGCGTTAAATATTTAACACCAAGTCATAAAATCCGTATCGTTCGTTCAATTAGAAAAAAGGAGGTGTCAAATTCAAATAATCCCTTCCGCAGATGTTTACGTTAAATATTTAACACCAAGTCATAAAATCTGTATCGTTCGTTTGATTTTCAAAAAGGAGGTAGCTGTTAAATGAAAGGGCTTGCCCTGTAGATGTGTCATATGCTTTTAGTTTTGTGCCATATGTAAGAAAATCAAAATCAACTTATTTAATAAGTTAAATAAATTACTCCAATATAGGTATTAATCGATGGTTTTGAATAAGCTTTATTTTTTAATTACATTTAGGAGGGGTGCCACTTGTTTGAAAAGTCGAATATAGCTAAAAAGTGGTGTGCTTAAAATACTATGCAACAATTAAAATATTTTTTAGATGCTTGAAGAGAGTGGCCACCTGTCTAAAAAGTTAAACTCAAATTATACTGTGGGACAGCCGAAGCCAGCCCGGACTTTGTTAACATCCTCTGAAAGTATACCCATCCAGTAATTAAACACCCGGTAGATTTGCAAAAGTTAGCTCGTATTTTTATTTCATGGCCTACTAAAGTTTTCATATCTCGGCCTAAGTAGTTTCCAAAAAAGGCGAAAAAATTGTTAAAATAAATGTCTGAGCGAAATCAAAGTTTAAGACATATATTATAAAATTTCATGAGAAATATTTTTGAAGAACATTTTAACCCATTAGCTCGCGCCTAAAAGGCTCATTTTGACCCTTACTTCAATAAATCCCGCAAAAAGCAAATTTGGAAGGTTGTTAGAAGATTGATATATTCTAGAAAATTATTCTCTGGTAAATTTTACTAGGGGTCTTCCCAGGTAAAAGCTTCATGCCACCAACGTAAAAGCCTCTAAACATTTAAAATAAAATATGAACAAAAAAACTAGTTTTTTACAAACAAAATTTTTAAATTTGAGTTTGGAATAACAGTTCCTTCTAGGCACAGATTTTTTGTCCCGATGCAGCAGTTCGAAAATCTAGTTTTTTTTTACTTGCATTCCTAAGACAAATGGAGTGCCACACACAGTGATGGCAAATTTAATCAGAAAGAAGAAAGTTGAAGAGTTGATTTTTTAGGAAATAAAGATGAAATTCGATTTTTTCTAGAAAAATTCGATTTTATCCGAATTTTAGCAACACAAAGTTCGATTTCAAAAATTCGCCATTTTGGAGCTAAAATTCGATTAAAGTTCGAATATCGAAGCTTCGAATATCGAATTTACCCATCCCTAATACATACCTACATATGCAGTATGTAAATGCAAGTAAATATGTCACTACAGGCATAAGAATGGCCTGGATGAACGGATATAGGTTTTGGTGCGATGTTATCCGAAAATTTTGAATGACGTTTTTCGTCTGCCAAGCGACGACTGCGCTGCCCGCTGCCCGCTGCCCGTTGCTCGCTGCTGCCATGCTGTTGTTGCAAGTAAATACACATGCACTTAAATATACCTACTTTCCTATACTCATGCAATGCTATGTATATACATATGTATGTATGTAGTGTGTAGCTAACACTCCGCCCCCTCACAGCCCAACAACAACAATGCCGACAATTCAATGTCTGCCATTGCGTCTGGTCGTGCTGCGTCGAACAATATGCACAGACAACGCATTGTATGCTACTGCTGCTGCTGCTGCTGCTGCTGCTGCTGCTGCTGTTCTTGTTGTTCTTTGGCCCCTTGCCTTTTGCTGTTACTTTTCCTATTGTTGTTGTTGTTCTTGTTGCCTTTGCACGCGTAATTGTTGCATCAAGCACAGCGCACAGAGTTTTACAAACAAACAAATAGACACATGTGCGCGCACACACATACATATGTATGTATGGACATTCATTCATGAGGTTGCATGCAACAGACAGTCAGCATGGAGAACAATAAAAGCCAATCTGGTAGCAGCGCCGCACACAGCAAATGCAAGCTGCGAATGGTAGGCGCTCGCGCAAAGGAAGGGGCAGGAGCGGTCGGACGCGCGCTGGTAGATAGCAAAAGCCAGCGCGACGACACAGTTTGATATTTCAGCTGAGTTTTTTTTTTTTTTTTTGTTGTGCAAATTTGTAAATGTACATAAGTATGTATGCAAATTGTATGGTGGGCGGAAGGTCACTGTAAGGTCAACAACAGCGCGTATACAAATAGACTTTAAAATATTTATGAATTTTAAGTTTTCCGTTAAGCGTGGGGCAACAGCAGTACGCTGGCATTTTTGGTAGCTGGAATACAGAGTAAGGAGCTGCAGTTAAACATTTTTAAAGAGTTTAGAATTCACGTATTACTGCAAAAGTATGCGCGCGTTCCATATTTATAGCTACGCGCTCGCCTAAGAAAGTAAAATTTGCATGCGCCGCTTTTAGTTAAATGCTCGGTGCTTAAAGAAAAATTTTATAAAATCCATTTTTGGACCAGTGCGCTAGAAAACGTTGGGAAAATCCATAGGATTTCCGCACATACCGCTGCTGGTTTACAAGTGCTACGCCACCACCACATGCCGCCACATTACATACATTGGCTAACTAATGTAGTAAGTTTTTCCAAAGCGCGCATCAGATTTTCAGCTTACTGGCTACCGTTCAATAATCAACCCGGCAGCACGAAGCGTCAGCATCTTCCGCAGTCGGCTATGACGAGCGCGCGCGAGCACTTTCACACGAACGCGTATACTACGCAAGCTTGAAATGTGGCAACAGTGTTTGCTATAAACCGTGGCACGAAGCAGCCCAACCAATACGCGTTGATTTTTATAGCACACTACGTAGCGGTGCAGCAAACGCCAACAGCGCGCCGCGGAATACGCTTCAAACTTCAGCAATGTATATTACGCGTAGTTTCGAGTAATCGATTTCATAGCCGGCACTGGGAAAGTTGTGGATGTCAGTGAAGTGACAGCGGTGGCGAAGGCGGCGGCGTATAGCCGCAAAGACACATTTAGCCCGACGACGTCCAGTCTGCCGCAACAACGTCCGCCGCAGATTCCACCGAGAAAACATGCCACAAGCAAACGAGTTAAGCGCGCTTGCTAGTCAGGTACCGCGCGCGAAAGTGGTAGAAAGAGTCAGCGCGCGGTAGTATGCTGTTCACCCGGTAAAGCCACTAGTGCGCGCAGTATAGCACTATTGCCAACCGCCATAACCCCTCCCTACCATGGCGCGCTAGCATGCCGATTGGCTAGCTGGTTGGGTGCGAGCTATGCTATGTCGCATGAGCTGCGCATAATCCAACCCACTGACGGGGGAGCCAGCCGCAGCATACAACGCAACGTCAGTTGACTGTCACGGAAATTTGATTTATTTGCCATGCAACGCACGGCAGCGCGGAGCATACTAACACCAGCGCAGCCAACATGCGCTTAAGCGCTGGGTAAGCGCATGCATACACATATACATACACGCGCGCTATAAACATATTAGCTCTCCTGCCAACCATCTCCTTCCTATGCACAGGCGCGCTACTGAATGCCGACGGCGCGTGAGTGAAAACGATTGCTCGTATGTTTGTGGTAAGCTAGCATTGAGTGGCGCGCGTGTGAACAGGCTAGCTAGCGGAGCTCTTGGGGTGGCTAATGCGAAGC